TTTATATTTTATTTTTTTTTGCTGTTAACGTTTATCATCGTGTAAAAAGGAAACAGGTAGCAGAGTTCGAATTCTATCCATTCTGTTGCATTTATTGCCGCACACATGCTCTTGAGGAAGATATTTCCCATCGAAATATGTGTTACGGTACACTGGGCTCTGCCTTGCTAGGAGGGTCACGTAAAATCTTTTAGGAGTCTGAATCATTGGGTAACGTATAAATTTATCTCTTCTCCCGATAAATAAATGTTCAATAGCTGAGTAGACTTGGCTCTCTAGCATTGGGTGGTAGTGAGTTTAGGATGATTTCCCTTAATCTAAAAACTTGTAGGAATAATAATAAAAAAAACGTTGGGAAAGATACCAATTCATCCCCTTCCAGCGAGACAGTAGTAGTAGGGTAGACTGAACTCTCTAGGCTTGCGTGGTAGTAAGTTTAGGACAGCGGTTCTCAACCAATACAACCTTTTCACCATAAGTCAGAAGGTCAATAGCCACTTTTCCAAAATTAGCAGACTCAAAATGTGAATTCCAAATAATATATATATATATATTATTGAAAATCTTGTACGTATACATTTTCATGGATTATTTTTATAAATTTTTTTTTTTTATAAATATTGCTTCAACATTGTTGTCTTAGATATATAGTTAGTAGATCGTAAAATTTATTCTTGGTAATTTTACTATAAATAGGTATTGTTGGTCGGTTGATTTTGTTTAGCGGCATATCAATCTTCATGGGTTATTTAATGGCGAAATCTAAATATCCCGCACGCAATTTTATGCTTTCAAATACAGATACCGTTTGCATATTGTTATACTTAAGTTAAAGGTGTGTTATTTTAGATGCATAATTTAAAATAAAAATTCGTTAGTCTTATTCAACCCTGTTAGGGACTGAGATCAAACTTCTTGATAAGACAGACGACTTATATTTTCGTCTATCGAAATAAGCTTATTCCTCATATGAGGTGATTTGGGATTTTATTGTGTATTAATATATATATACATATATATATATATATATATATGACCATGGAATATCAGTGTTTAAGCCTTTTTATTATATCCTTACTCTGTCCTAGACATTGAGTTCTACCTGGATCCTTCCTCTTGGAAAAATTTTTTTTCTGAAAATATACATGTATGGAAATTTTTTTAGATATATATTTTTCATATGTATGTATATTTTCCACTAATATTATCAATATATATATATATATATATATATATATATATATATATATATATATATATATATGTGTGTGTGTGTGTGTGTGTGTTTTGATTGTTAACATTGAAACATGCAACACACGCATAAAAGAGCGAGATTTTGTTTTCTTTTTTTCATATAAAGGTTCGTGACAATACAACCCCCCTCAGACCATCTGACCCCCCCGCACCGCGCTCCAACCATGTCTTGACTTGAGCATTCTTTACATATTCATCTGTTCGTTTCCTTGCATCAGCGTCACCTAAACATGCGGATGGTGTCAGAATTTCTGTCCCCCCCCTCCAACACACACCTCAGCAGACACCTTAGTCTTTATTTCATGTCACTTGTTACGGATTCTCCTGGTTTCCCTCCTCTAAAAATATTAGTCACGTCAGGTAGAAAGCGTTTTTTTTTCTGTTTTTTTTTTTCTTATCCTTTGAGGACGAAGGATCATGATTCGCTGCAGAGGACTTTTTTTTTACTGTAAACTGACATGGCCTCTAGGCCTTCTACTGGGTTTTAAATTAAAAGTAGTCCTCCAAGACCAGGAGTTCCCAACCAGTGGGGATTTTAGGGCTTCAGGGTGGGTGGGGGGATCTTTTACTTGTTTTTGTTTTGTTTTTTTAATTTACAGAATTCGGAGCCAATCATGAGAATCAAACAAGGACGATATGATGACTCATATCCAATATGATTTCACATTATACTCCATTACTATACGGAGCGCTATTCTCTACTCTATTCACGATACTATTTCTCTATTCGGATCACTATATGGATTACTATTCGAGCGAGTATTATCGAACAACTACTATAAGTGCGAGTGCTATTCGAAGGCGTCTGACACCAGTATTGTTCAACGGCTTACTATAGTTGTGTCTGCGATTACAAAGTCTCTACTACAACGAGCATTTACGAAAGTGACAACGACTATTCGTTGATATCACAAAAAATATACTTACTTTAAAAGTTTATTTACTTTTTAGAACCGAAATCAATTTAAGAATTCCTTTCCAAAGAAAATATAGTGATGTAGAACACACACGAATATATCAGAATATTCGCTATAAATGTGTGGCCTTTCTAAAGACTCGAATCCTTTTTCAATTTCTACCGCGTTTAAAGTAAAGTTAAATTTAAGCTACATCAATATTAGTAATTATCAGTATAGTAATTTCTGTCTGAATTTCTACGGTTAACAATGTTTCAAATTATAAAAAATACATTTTATCATCTACAAACTATATACATAAAACAAACATCATCTGAAAGCGTAAAATTACCTCAAAATATGTAGATTTCGTCATTAAATATGTAGATTTCGTTATTAAATATGTAGATTTCGTCATTAAATATGTAGATTTCGTCATTAAATAACACATAGAGGTTGATATGCCGCTAAATAAAAATCAACCAAACAATCCTCATGATAATTTCGAATATAAAAATTTATAATAATATTCTTTATACTTGTTAAGTTTTCCAAGGAACTCTGTTTATATCTCCGTTAATACGATTTTTGAGGTAACATAAATTTAAATTCAATTTATCCGCAACTTTAAAAAAAAAGAATATTTAAGTATAGGGTGAAAATCTGAAGTGTTTAAAAAGTCATCACTTGTTCGTTTTCAATCATTTTTATTTATTTATTACAGGATATAGAGAATCCGATGGAGATTAAAATGGCTGCGTATGATGTCCAGCGACAAGTAAAACTCACTGGGTTTTTCTATTCCAATGGAAGATCAATTATTGAAACGCAGAGAAAATACCGGCAACATTTTAATGTCAGCGATAACATGATTCAGAACAATAATCGCCCGGTTTGAAAAAACTGGATCAGTCGGTGATCTTCCGGGAAGAGATCCTAAATGCACTGACGCAGCGCTGGAAGCTGTACGACAGAGTCTCTTTGAGAATCCATCATCTAAATAATTGCAATGTTCGTACGAACCTGTACGTTCATAGACAACAAATAATCAAATAATAAAAAATTTATTATATGAAGAATCTCTACACAAACTTATATACCCTGTTGTAATATTATATGATTCGTATACCCAATTGTAAATATATACATATATATGCGTGTGTGTGTGTGTGTGTGTGTGTGTGTGTGTATGTAATATACCATAATTAATTTATTTAATTCCAATTAATTTAATTACTTCCAAAATTCATTGACATTTGATTATATGAATAAATGTTTTAGAATTATAACGTTATTCCATTTTTAATAAAAAACAAAAAGCGTATATATATATATATATATATATATATATATATATATATATATATATATATATATATATATATATAACGGAAGTGAAAGACACTCAAACGTTGAAAACGACAGGAGAGTCCATCACACACACATATATATATATATATATATATATATATATATATAGATAGATAGATAGATAGATAGATAGATAGATAGATAGAAAACGGAACTGAAAGACACTCATACGTCGAAAACGACGGGAGAGCATATCATATATATATATATATATGTGTGTGTGTGTGTGTGTGTGTGTGTGAGTGTGTGTGTTTGTATATATATACATATGTGTATATATATATATATATATATATATATATATATATATATATATATATACATACATATATATATATATATATATATATATATATATATATATATATATATATATATATATATATATGTGTGTGTGTGTGTGTGTGCAGATATGTAGAAAATAGGAAAGAACATGTTAGATAAATAATCCGGAACTGAAAGACATTCATCCGTCGAAAACGACGGGACGGGAGAGTCTATCATATATATATATATATATATATATATATATATATATATATATATATGACCGAATGGGTAAATATAGGTAGGTATACGAGCAAGCGATCGTATACAAATGCACATAAAGACTTTATAGTGTAAGAAAAAAACAGTACTCAATATTAAGTAACAGTAACTATTTAATATATATATTTATTAAGAAATATATATAATATCTTACATTAATTATCTTGCATTAAACTCCGAATTTCATGCTAAAGTAATTTTCAAGTCATGGAATTGTCATATTTATTTTTATTTTTAAAATTGCTTCTGGATGAAACTCGATGTTGTGTAATTAATGAAAGATATTATGTACATTTATTAATATATATATTAAATATACTTTACATAAGGATAATTATATTCGGAAAATTATATATATATATATATATATATATATATGTGAAAAGTGAATATAAATATAAATAAATATATATATATGTATAATTATTTATATATTATATGCGCGGTACTTATTAGAAAGCGCTCAATATCAGAGATAGAGCTAACATGTATATATATGTATATAATATGTATATATGTTTGCGTATGTATAGTGTGTATTTGTGTTGGCGCGTGTGGATATGCGTGTGTGCGTGTGAGAGTGGCAATTGAAATATTTCCAGCGAACACCAATACGTAGGAAAAGTCCAACTGGCCTTTATCAATTTGGTTAGATTTTGTAAAGTAAGACCCATCTGGAATATGCCATTACCACTTCGAATACATCATATATATATATATATATATATATATATATATATATATATATATATATATATATATAATATCATAATCCTTTTTTTTTCAACATCATCACTTGATAAGAAACAGAGTGTGTTGAAACAAAATGGCTATTTTTGTAGTGATTTTATAACATACTTATGTTATAATTTTTTTTTTAAAAAATAATTATATATATATATATATATATATATATATATATATATGTACCGAAGGAAGTCCGAATGTAGGTCCGATGAGGAGGAAAGAAAACAT